CACAGCCCCCTTAGGCCAGTGGGGTCTCCCTGGGACCTCACTCTCCTCACCTGTGAGACGTGGTCACTCCCTCTGCGCAGTCCTCGTGGCGACGCGGTGAGGTGTGAGTGGTGCTCCCCCCGCACGGTGCCCGCTGCTCCGCCTGGCACCTCGGTGGCTGGAGCCCCCAGCAGCCCCCGCGCCCGGCGGTCGGGAAAGGCCCCCGAGGTTGTGCAGCCCGGGTCCTGCCCCTGTCCGCTCCCCCTCCCTGTCCCGGCCCCGTGTGACTTTCCCCGGCCGACAGGACGGGGTGCCCAGGCCCGGCGGCTCTGAAGGCGGAGGGTGTGGTCTGGCAGTTCTGGGGGCGGAAGTCCCAGGTCAGGGTGTTGTCAGAGACGTTCCTTCGGGGGCTCTGAGGCCAAAACCCACCAGGGCCTCTCCCCAGCCTCGGAGGTCTGTGCGGTCCTGGCTCCCTTCGCTTGTGGAGCGGTCGCCTGGACTCTGCCTCCCTCCGTCTTCACGTGGGCCCCCCCTCCCCCCGGGGCGTGTCTGGGTCCTCACCAGCCCCACCAGCTGGGGCCAGCCTTAGCGACCTACCAACTTGATTACTTTTTTTTAAACAATTGATTTCAGAGAGGAAGGGAGAAAGAGAAACATCAATGATGAGAGTCACAGATCATCGGCTGCCTCTTGCACGCCCCCTATTGGGGACGGAGCCGGCAGCCAGGCCTGTGCCCTGACTGGGAATCTGAACCGTGACCTCCTGGTTCACAGGTCGATGCTCAACCACGGAGCCACACTGGCCGGGCTTGATTACTTCTTTTAAATAAGGGCCCGTTCTGAGTCCCGGGGGGAGGACGAAATTCAGTCCAAAACAACCCCCTCTGAAGGTCCGGGGACGGTCCGGCCTGGGCCTCCGAGGTGGCTCCCACGCCCAGGCCTGGCCTCCCCGCCTCGGCAGGCACTAGGTGGCAAGTGAAACCCTGGTGTAAGGTGGCACGAAGCCAGGCCAGAAAGGGGGGGACGGGAGCCGCAGGCCCAGCGCCTGAGCTGGGGCCGGTTCCTGTGTGCGTGGAGGGACCTCAGGAACGCTGTGCCCCTGAGGCATCGGTGCCCAGCCAGGGTGGGCCTGGCATGGCCAGGGGTTGCAGGGCAGATGCCCCGTCTCCAGCTGTCCTCACTACCTTCCCTCGTCCCTCATCTTGGTTCACTTGGTAAATATGTGTTTGAGGGCCTACTGTGTGTCTAAGCGCCAGGAGACGTCTCAGGAGCTTCCGTTCTCCGGGGGCGCAGGAGCAACCCGGGGCCGCTCAGTCCAGGCCCCTGGGAGAGACGGGGTTGGTGGGGACGATGCTGCAGGGGACAGGGCACTCACTGTGTGCCTGTCTGCCGGGCGCGGCCCTGAGTGTTTCATGTGAATGGATTCCTCAAAAAAAAAAAATTATATATATATATATATATATATATATATATATATATGATTTTTTACAGAGAGGAAGAGAGATAGTTAGAAACATCGATGAGAGAGAAAACATCAATCAGCTGCTTCCTGCACACCTCCCACTGGGGATGTGCCCACAACCAAGGTACATGCCCCTGACTGGAATCGAACCCGGGACCCTTCAGTCCACAGGCCGACGCTCTATCCACCGAGCCAAACCAGTTTCGGCATGAATTCCTCTTCTCGCTCGGCTGTCCTGTGAGGCAGCCCCATTCTACCGAGAAACCGGACCCGGGAGGTCACAGGCTGGGGGACCGGGTGGGCAGCACAGACTGCAGAGTGCTGGAGGCCCGCCCGCACCCCCGAGGGTGCACATCTGAGCTGAGATCTAAGGGACGCAGAGCTGGGGACCCCGGCAAGGCCGGGTGGCTGGAGCAGGGGGGAGAGGGACAGGGGCAGTGTGCGTGGCCTTGTGGGCCGGGCAGCCGGAGCTGGTGCGGGGTTTAACCTGGGGGTGGTCTGTCCAGGTTGCTTCTGGTAAGCCCCTCTGTGGAGACAGCCCAGTGTCCGTCTCCGGATGATGGGTAAACAGGGTGGTCCATCCATCCAGCGGAATGTTACTCCATCGCAGAGAGGAAGGAAGCTCGGACATGCTGCAGCATAGATGAACCTGGAAAACGCAATGCTTGGTGAAAGAAGTGGAATGCAGGGTTTTACGATTCTATCTACTAGTATATGAAAAGTCCAGAACCCGCAAATCCAGAGAGACGGGGGCAGGTTAGTGGTTGTTGGGCTGAGGGGGGCAGGGGGGTGGTGGACGGGGGAGAAGGAGGTTTTGCCTAAGAAGCACAGAGTTTCTGTTTGGGGTGATGAGAATCTTTTGGAGATAATGATGCTGAGAATGTAATTAATGCCACTGAATTGTATGGTGAAAAGTGATTTTATGTTATATATATGACCATAATTTAAAAATATATATATTTTATTGATTTTTTACAGAGAGGGAGAGAGGGACAAAGAATTAGAAATATGGATGAGAGAGAATCATCCATCAGCTGCCTCCTGCACACCCCCTACTGGGGACGTGCCCGCAACCAAGGTACATGCCCTTGACCGGAATCGAACCCGGGACCCTTCCGTCCGCAGGCCCACACTCTATCCACTGAGCCAAACCGGTTGCGGCTCCACAATCTGTCTGCTGGGAGCCTGGGTGGGAGAAAGAGGCTGGAGCGCAGGGGGCAGAGGCCAGGCATCGGGTGGTGAGCCCGGGGCGGGGCGGGGCGGCCAGGGGTGGGGGGCTGCAGTGTCCGGAGATGCAGACCAGGACCTGCTCCTGAGCTGCCCTGAGGTGACAGGCAGAGGAGCCGGAGGGTTTTGACTGGGGTTTTGGCCGAAGGATGGAGAGGACAGTGGGGCCGTGTGGTGGACACGGGGCTCTGTGTGTCCGGTCAGGCTGAAGGAAGGTATGAAGGTGGAGACTGTGGAGGAGGCAGGCAGGGCTGGAGCCCGGATGTGGCAGTGGTCACAGTATCAACAGTGGCTAAAGCGGGAGGCTGGCTGGATCCCGGGGTGGGGGGGGGTGGGAAGGACAGGGAAGAGGTTCGGGGGGCGGCCTAGGAGGAGGGAGAGGAGCCGCCCCCTCAGATGGATGTTCCCTCGGCCTGACTCATCCAGGCTGTGGACAGCACCTCTCCTGGGTCCCAGCTGAGTAAAAATAAACAAATAAACATTCTGTCCACATTTATTCGCTCCCCCGCCCCCTTTGCTCAATCGCCAGTCCCTGGTCTTCAATCTCGTCTCCCCAGACAGCTGGTCAGCCCGGTCTCTCTGACCCGCCGGAGACAAAGTCCGGGCTTGTTTACGCAGACTGTTGTTCTTACCAGAACCTGCAGATACAGGCTATTTAGGGGACTGGGGGAGGGGGGCAGGTCAAGGTCAGGGTCAGGACCCAGACTCACATGGGCCAGCTGTCCTCAGCCCGGCCTCCCAGCCCCGCTAACCACTGTGACGGCGTCAGGCGGGAGTGCCCGTCGGCCGGGGTCAGCCTCCGGGGTAGGGGTGAGCAATGCGGTGGTCAGGCGTGCCCTTCCCCCGAGGTAGCATTGTGAAACGAATGACCGGGGCTGTGGGAGGAGACGGATTTGGACAGCAGAGGGGAGGGAGCTGCTGCCGGCGGGCACAGGGATTCGGGGCTGTACTGGGAGGCCGCCGTCCCATTTCACAGGAGAGGAGACTGAGGCCTGCAGCAGGTGTGCGGGGCCCTGGGCGGCGTTTCCGGCGGGGAGGGTCCGGGAAGCAGCTGGAGAGCCCAGTGGCCCGGTCACCCAGCCTCACCCTCGTGAGGAGCGGAGGCCCCGCTGGAGAGCGGAGGGATCCGGGTCATTGCGCGATCCCTCTGCACCGGGCGGAGGCGGCGGAGGCGGGGGGAGGCCAGGCCGGGTCCGGGGCCTGTGGCGGGCAGAGAGATCGGTGAGATCGATAGATCGGTGAGATCGATAGATCGGCAGAGCCCACAGGATCGGGGACACAGTTCACGAAGGGGAGGGGAGAGGCAGATTCCTGGGTTCGGGTGTGACATTCAAACCAGTATTTGCCGCCATGTGCCGGGCCTGTGCTGGAAGCTGGGGGTGGGACCATGAGCAGAACAGCCCACCGGCCCTGCCTGTGTGGGGGCCGTTCTGTACGGGCTCCGAGGTCATTGTGTTTGATCGCAGGCCTGCAGGCGGGGAGGGAGCGGGGGCGAGGCCGGTGGGTACCTGCAGAGGCGGGAGGCCGGGCCGGCACAGAGGAGGGTCAGAGACCTGACGGGGTCCGGCAGTTCGCTTCCGTTTGGGGGAAAGACAGGAGCTGGGAAAGTGTTGGGTGGTGGATGGGGCTGGGAGGACGGGGAGAGGGCGGAGCGGGTTCATATGTGATGGGGCTGCTTAAAGCACAGGCGCCGGCCCTCCCCAGAGAACATGTTCCTGGCAAGTTCCTGGCCAGGCTGGTGCCGCTGGGCCTGGCCACGCGGGGCAAACGGGTGTAGATACAGCAAAGGGCGAGGGGTGTGGGCAGGCAGCCCGGCCAGCACCCGCGGGAAACCGAGGCAGGAGTGACTGTGAGGGAGTGAAGGGTGCGAACCCAGCTCTGGGGTGGGGACTGGGGTGGGGCCGGCTACGGGGCAGGGCACGGGACCCTCACCCCTTCTCACCCTCCCTGGCCCCTAGGGGGCAGCACTCCGCCCTCCCCACCTGCCTGTCTGCAACCTACCCCGCAGTCCCCTGCAAACACTGTCCCTGGCCCCAGTCTGTGGCCCCAGCCAGCCACCACTGAGGGACAGGAAGCGGGGGCTGGGCGGGGCTGGGTTCCTGCCCATGATCCTGAGGGCGGGGGCCGGGTCCCCCGCCCTGGACGCTCTCCCGGACTCCAGGGTGCGGAGGAGGCCTCCAAAGGCCCTTTCCCAGGACAGGTCTGAGGCTGTCCCCGGAGGGGCCGTCCTGTCCGGGGGCCGGGGCGGGCGGCCTCTGGTGGAGGTGCGGGCGTGGACGGCCGCCCTCGGGCTGGCTGAGGATGGCCCCCTCACTCCCCCTGTCCTCCCCAGGCTGGTGGGCCCGGCTGCGGGGCCCCCTGGTGATGCGGGGCGAGGACCCCCGCACCGGCCACTGAGCGCCCGACACGCCGGCCGCCGCCATGGCCCGCCTGGCCGCCGCCCTGTGGAGCCTCTGCGTCACCGCCGTGCTGGTCACCTCCGCCACCCAAGGTAGGTGTGTGCGCCGGGCGCAACGGCGAACACTCACACACACACAGCTCAGGGGAACCAGGCCAGGGCACGGAGGGTCCCGGGGCCTGGAGTGCAGCCGGTGGCACTGCACCGGTGCAGCCTTCCTGGTGACTGGAGGCCCGTGTGTGTGTGTGTGTGTGTGTGTGTGTGTGTGTGGCACCTGTGTGTGTCTGTGTGTGTGTGTGTGTATGTGTGTGGCACCTGTGTGTGTGTCTGTGTGTGTGTCTGTGTGTGTGTGTGTGTGTGTGTGTGGCACCTGTGTGTGTGTGTTGTGTATGTGTGTGGCACTTGTGTGTGTCTGTCTGTCTGTGTGTGTGTGTGTGTGTGTATGTGTGTGGCACCTGTGTGTGTGTGTGTGTATGTGTGTGGCACTTGTGTGTGTCTGTCTGTCTGTGTGTGTGTGTGTATGTGTGTGGCACCTGTGTGTGTATGTGTGTGTGTGTGTTGTGTATGTGTGTGGCACCTGTGTGTGTCTGTCTGTATGTGTGTGTGTCTGTGTGTGTGTGTGTGTGGCACCTGTGTGTGTGTGTGTGTTTGTGGCTCCTGTGATCACATCCTCCCGGCCCTTGCAGGGAGAGACTGAATTAAAGCATGCCCATTGCCGTTTATTTAAAAACTAATTGCTCAGCCCAGCCCTGTGCGGGCTCAGTCAGTGCCCCAGCTGCCCGCCCACCTCGCCAGTCGCTCAGTGCTGGTCCCCGTGGCGGGCAAGGGAGAGCGAGGAGGGAGGCGGGAGCAGGCGCCTGCTGGCCTTGTCCCTGCCCTGGCCTGGGCCGGCCCCCGCCCGCCCCTCCCAGCCCGTCCGGAGGGCCGGGCAGGGGGCACCGCTTCCCAGTGCCCCTTCCTGCGGCCCCGCCTTCGGGGAGCCATGCCAGGGCCTTGGCGTGGCTCCCCCAGTGCCGGGTGCTCTGCCCATCTGGGTCCTGCCCCGTGGTCCCCGCTGGTCCAGGAGGGGCTGCTTCTGCCCCCTGGACCCCTCTGAGCCAGCCCTCCGCCCCGGCCTGCCTCCCGGGCCCAAGACGGGGCTAAAATTAGCCGAGGGAGCAGATGGCGCTAGAGCCACACACGCAGGACGCCCCGAGTGGAGCAGCCCCCGGACGCCCCGGGCCTGGCTGCCGTCCTCCACGGCCCCCAGAGTGGCGGGACCCGGCCTGAGGAAAGAGGCCGGCTTGGCTCTGGTACCTTCTCTTCACCTGCCGATGACGGTTGTCCCCACACTGCAGCCTCTGCGCACCCCCGTCCCCCTGGCACCAGCAGGCGGGCTGGCACCGGGGTCCGGGGAGGTGGCGGCCTCGGCAGGCGTGGGCCTGCAGAGACGGGCGGTGCCCTGTGGCCTCACTGTGTGCCACTGTGAGCGGGGCGGTCAGCTCCGGAGGGAGGGCGCGGGCACGGGGGGGGTCAGTGACCGGACGGGGCCACCCCATCAGCCCAAGCTCCCAGGCCCCACACGGCACGAGGTGGGGACGGACGTGGGACGACGCTGGGCCTGACCTTCCGTTTTCACACGACGGGAGGAGGGGTGTCCCCAGGTGATAAAGAGGGGACCCTTCGCCGGTGACAGCACCAGGCTGGGCCCTTCCTTCACCAACACTCCTGGCACAGAGTCCTCAGCACAGCCCTGGGCCATGGTGCCCATTTCACAGATTGGGGCACTGAGGCCCGGGGAGGCTCCAGGGGCGGCTGTCCAGAGGCGTGTGGTCAGAATTGTTGGTGGGTGCATAGCTCCGAAGGCTCCTGGCTGAACCCCCCAGATCCTGGCTCGGCCGGCCTGGGCTGGGGGGAGGAGGGTGGCCACAGCTGGCGTTCTAAACCAGCTGCCCTGTGACTCTGGCGCTGCCGGTCCCTGGGCTGCACCATGACGAGACCTGGGAAGTGACGGAGGCAGACGCTATGGCTGCTTCCAGAACATGGGTTCATGCCCCACCCCCAGGCCTCTCCTCCTTGTGGGGGGGGTGGGGGGATTCAGGGCATCACCCAAGGTCACCCTCCCTGAGGACACTGACTTAAGGATTTTTTTTAATTTTTTTTTGAAAAATCGGGACTTTTTTTAAAACGCCGCGGGACAGATTGTTAGAAGTCGGGACTGTCCCACCAAAAGCGGGACGTCTGGTCCCCTTACACTAACTGCAATCAGGGGCCCCTCACACCAGCGGCCGCCGGCCGGCGGTGGGCGGTGAGGTCCGGAAGCTTGGGGACGGCTGCGGTTTGCCGGGTTGCCAGGAGAGCTCGCAGTGCCGTTAGTTACCCTGGCAGTCAGTTGGTACGGCGGATTGGGGCAGAGTAAGCTCATCCCGGAGGAGGTGCCGGGGCAGCGGCGTCCGGGCACGTCTCACGCCCCCTCCCGGAGCCGGGGGCAGTGTCAGCTCTCCCGGCAGTGCTGGGCGGCAGCTCGCATGTGCACTGCCACCTGGAAGTCCCCCTGCGCCTTGGTGCTCACCGTCTTTCCTGGGGCTCTGACCGCCCACCTCGCTGGCCTTGACCTCCAATCCCTCCACAGGCCAACGGATACTTCCTGACCCAAAGCTCCCACCCAAAACCACATGGTTAGCGGAGAGGTGGTTAGCGCTGCCGTAACAGAGCACCACAGACGGGGGTGGCACGTAAGCAACGGAAATGTAATTCCTCACAGTACCAGGAGCTGGAAGTCCGAAATCAGGGCGTTGGCAGGGTTAGTTCCTCAGGGCTGCAAGGGAAGGATTTGCTCCAGGCCCCTGCCCTTGGCTTGTAGGTGGCCATCTCCTCCCTCTGTCCCCACATGGTCTTCCCTCTGGTGTGCCTGTGTCCAAATTCCCTCTATTATATCGGACGGAATTCGTGCACAGGTAGGGGCCCTAGGCCTGGCCTTGCCACCAGGGCTGACCAGGGCCTTCCTTCGCTCTGGCGCCGCCCCCTGGTGGTCAGTGTTCTTCATAGCGAGCAATCAAATTCCCCAGGGGACACTGCATGGTCGGCTTTTACATATGTATTAATAGATTAGTGCCCATCTTAATTGCCTCCTTTTAGCTTGATTATCTCTGTAATGACCCTGTCTCCAAATTCGGTTACATTCTGAGGTCCAATGGGTTAGGACGTCAGCATAGGAATTTGGGGGAGGGGGCACAATTCGACCTCTTATCAGTTAGCACAGACTATCTGGCATGGCCCAAGGCCCCCAGGTAAGCAGACACCCTTACCAAGCTGAACATCCCAAAGGCGTGGAGGGTCCTCCCAGGCCCTGAGGCAAAGGCCAAATTATTTTTGAGCCCGTTTTACAGACACATAAAGCTCTGCCTGTGTCCCAGGCACCGCTGAGCTGGAGCTGGCGCCTCCTCTGCAGGATCTTCACCCCCTTCCCTGCACCCTGAGCGTGACGCGCCCTCTCCCCCCCTCCCTGCAGGCCTGAGCCGGGCTGGACTCCCGTTCGGGCTGATGCGCCGGGAGCTGGCATGCGAAGGCTACCCCATCGAGCTGCGGTGCCCGGGCAGTGACGTCATCATGGTGGAAAACGCCAATTACGGGCGCACGGACGACAAGATCTGCGACGCTGACCCTTTCCAGATGGAGAATGTGCAGTGCTACCTGCCCGACGCCTTCAAGATCATGTCGCAGAGGTGAGGGGCCCCCGGGGCTCTCGGGCAGTCCCTGAATCCGGTACCTGCCCTCCCTGCACCCCCTGGACCTCCCAGCACCCTGTTCACCCTCCGTCTTCCTTCTGTGATTTTCACACACCTTCCAGGTGCCCGTCCCCCTCAGCTTACCTCCCCGCCAGTCCCACACACATGCACTCACCAGCCCGATGCCTCCAGAAGCTCATGCCAATCTTACCAGGAGGCGGTGAGGGCTTGCAGTGTAAACGCAATGGCAGGTCAGGGTGAAGGTGTCCTGGGAGCTGAGGCAGGACCCAGAGTCTGGCCAGGCTTCCCTGAGGAGGTGACATCTGAATACAGATGACAAGTGTGTGAGAGAGAGAGAGAATGTGAGTGTGTGTGCACGCCTGTAAGTGAGGGGGTGTGCCAGGAGGAGCACTGAGTGTTCAAAGTTGCAGAAACCTCTCTCACACCCACAGCCAGTGCGCCTCGAGCTGCTCAGGGCTCCCTTCAAATTACACTGATTGGACCACTGCTTCCCCCAAGTCTGTGCCCCGCCCCTTACCTGCTCCCTCCTGCCTGTGCAGCCTGTTCCCTCCACAGCCGCCAGAGGGCGCATGTGAGCACCTGAATCTGGAAACATCCCTGTTCTCATCATCCTACCTGGCTCTCAGCTCTCAAAAGCCCAAGCCTTCCCTCCGCCTGCAGGGCCCTGCACGCTCTGCCCTTTCCTCTCCCGCCCTCACCTCCTCCAGCTCCCCCCCTCACCCACCTGCTCCTCACACACATCAGGCATCTTCGCCCGAGGGCCTCCCGTGGGCCTTTTCATTGGCTGTTCCCCAGCAGCCGCTGGGCGCCTCCTCCCTCCTCCCTCCTCCCAGTCACTCAGGGAATTTCCACCTGTCCTCCTCCAGGGCTGCCCGACCACCCTCTGAAACCACAGCCCCCCACTTCCTCGCCCCTTCTCTGCTTCCTGACTTCCACCCACAGTTCCATCAGATAGTTTGCCTCTTTATGTGGTTTATGTATTCCCCCCACGGGGACCGGAAGCTGTCACTGCTGTGTCTGCAGCAGCAGGCACTCACTGCATTTTTGCCAAATACCGGTGAGAATGCAGGGTTCACTCCTCCGGAGCCCGGGCGTAGAACGGGAAAAGGGAAGGGGGGCTAGGGCCAGCAGCTCCTTGGAGTTCCAGAGTAAAATAAAATCAGGGGCCCTGAGTTTGGGGCACAGGACAGGTGTGGGCAGGTGGCCTCCCACCTTTTCTGACTCCAGCATCCACCCCCCTCCAGTAATCTTGCCCCCTCTCCCCTCCCAGGCCTTGCTTGGGCAGTGCCCCCTTCTCTTTGGAATCCCTTTTCCTCCCTCCTGCCTCTCCAGGTTCTCCCTCAGGGTTCATTCATCACCGGCACTGGGTCAGTGGTGTCTCCCAGCACCCAGCACTCGACTGGCCCGGTTCGGACGGATTGTCAGGTCCAGAGGGGGGAACGCTGAGCAGGCTGGCCACTGTCTTAGAACCTAGAGATGTGCTGAAACCAATTTGGCTCAATGGATAGAGCATCAGCCTGCGGACTCCAGGGTCCCAGGTTCAATTCTGGCCAAGGGCATGTACCTGAGTTGTGGGCACATCCCCAGTAGGGGGTGTGCAAGAGGCAGCTGATCGATGTTACTCTCTCATCGATGTTTCTGGCTTCCTATCTCTCTCCCTTCCTCTCTGAAAAAAAATCAATAAAATATACAAAAAAAAAAAACAAAACAAAAAAAAACCTAGAGATGCTTTTTTAAATCTTTCATTTTATTTTAATCCTCTCCCGAGGATATTTTTCCATTGATTGTTAGAGAGAGTGGGAGAGAGAGGCAAAGACAGAAATATCGACGTGAGAGAAACATCCACTGGTTGCCTCCTACACACGTCCCGACCTGGGCTCAGGCTGGGGAGGATCCTGCAACCTAGGTGCATGCCCTTGACCGAAACCGAGCCTGGGACCCTTCAGCCCGCAGGCTGAAGCTCTGTCCACTGAGCCAGACCTGGAGGTGCTTTCTGTCAGTGAGGGTACAGCTCCCCGCCCTGACGGAGACACCCCAGAAAAAATACTCCTCAGTGAGGAGCTGAGGAGACGGCAGCAGCCGCTTCCCTGTGTGGTGCCTTCCGCACCCATCACACCCCCCTCCCCTGGAAGGCTTTCCCTCTTCTCTGTCTGGCAGTGAGAGTCACGTAACAAAGTCACGATTGAAGTGGAGTGTTTAGTGTGTTTACAAGTTGTGCAACCACCATCCCTGCCAGCTCCCCCGGGAGGACACCCTGTGCCCTGGAGCAGCCACTCTCGGTGCCCCCCCTCCTGGCAGCTGGTCTCCTGTCACTGGACTTGCCAGTTCCGCACGTTTTGTGCAAGTGGAGTCGTGAGACGTGGCCTTTGTGCCCGGCGCCTCCTGTGGCATGCTTCCGAAGTTCGTCCACCTGGTGGCCTTTCTGAGGACGGCTTTGTGAGGACGGCTTTGTGAGGATGGGCCACGTTGTTCGTCCCTTCGGGTGTGATATTTGGGTTGCTCTCACCCTTTGGCACTTGTGCGAGTGACCAGCCGTGAATGTTCACCAACAGGTGGTGGTTTAGGCACTTGCTTTCGGTTCTTTGGGAATATAACGAGGGATGGAGTTTCTGGGCCATAGGCAACTCTCCTTAACCTTCTGAGGCCACTGTGCTGTTTTTATTTATTGTTGAAAGTGTTTCAGATGACCCCCTTTTTTCCATTGATCCTCTGCTCCGAACCCCTCCCCCCAGGCCTTCACTACACTGTTGTCTAAAAATATGGAACGCGCCGAAACCGGTTTGGCTCAGTGGATAGAGCGTCGGCCTGCGGACTGAAAGGTCCCAGAATCGATTCCGGTCAAGGCATGTACCTTGGTTGCGGGCACATCCCCAGTGGGAGGTGTGCAAGAGGCAGCTGATGATTCTCTCATCGATGTTTCTAACTCTCTCTCCCTCTCTCTTCCTCTCTGTAAAAAATCAATAAAATATATTTTTTAAAAATAAAAAAATAAAAATATGGAACACTTCATGAATTTGCATGTCAGCCTTGCACAGGGCCACGCTAATCTCTGAATCGTTCCAATTTTAGTATCTGTGCTGCCAAAGCGAGCACCAGAGTTCTGTTTTTGTTTTGTTTTTAGAGTATTTTTATTGATTTCGGAGGGGAAGGGAGAGGGAGGGAGGAAGATAGAAACATCATCCGTGAGAACTGCACCCCAGGCGTGTGCCCTCAATCGGAATAGAACCCAGGACCTCTCCGTCAGGGCACCAGTGTTCTGACTTTTTAAAATATATTTTTATTGATTTCAGGGAGGAAGGGAGAGGGGGAGAGAGAGACAGAGACAGAAACTTCAGTGGTGAGAGAGAATGATTGATTGGCTGCCTCCTGCACGCCCCACACTAGGGACCAAGCCTTGACCTGGAACAGAACCGTGACCCCCTAGTTCATAGGTCGATGCTCAACCACTGAGCGTGCTGGCCAGGCCCATGTTCTGGCTTTTGTTTTTTGTGTGTTTTTTCCTTTTTTTACCCCCCACCCTCACCCTTTGCCACGCAAGGCCCAGTACCGCTGAGAGCCCGGACCCAGTGTCCTGTTTTTAAAGGAGGGTTTTGAGGGGGGTGGGTATGAGCAGAACCTCATTAGTTAAGGGCAGGACCGAAGAGAGAAGACACAGGCGCCCCCTGCCCTGTATCTGTCAGGGACTCCCCCAGAACTGCTTCCTGCATACCCACCATCGGGTCCACCTCCCGCTGGCTGAGACCTGGGCTGCTCCAGGAAACAGAGACCCTGACTGTGGGGACAGACAGCAGAGGAGAAACAGCTTTTATTATTATTGTTGTTAAAATATATTTTTATTTCAGAGAGGAAGGTGAGAGGAAGAGAGAAGCATCAATGATGAGAGAGAATCATGGAACACTTCCATGAACAAAGGCGGGGCTTTACAGTCAATTGAGGGAAAATGCCAAGGATGTGCCAGCGCCAGTGCTGGGCGGCAGCCATGAAGGGCTGGGCAGGCAGTGCCCAGGGCCCCGCTCTGACCCAGCCCTGAGCTTCATGCCAGCTGGGCGGAGAGTGGGAGAGACAGGGCAGGAACCAGAAGACAATATCCACGAAAGGCCCGGCTTGAGTCTCCATGGTTCCTTCCAAATTTGGGGGTACCCGTTCCTCCCCTCACCCGGGCCAGCGCAGGCCTGTCTCCCATCTCCGTCTCTCCTCCACAGGTGTAATAACCGCACCCAGTGTGTGGTGGTTGCCGGCTCCGACGCCTTTCCTGACCCCTGTCCTGGGACCTACAAGTACCTGGAGGTGCAGTACGACTGTGTCCCCTACAGTGAGTCCTCTTGTTCCTCATCGAACCCGGGCCCTTCCCTGCCCACAGTGAGCGAGGAGGAGACACCTTGACCCGGACCCACATGCAATGCACGTGCACATGCACACGCACAAGCATGCCCATACATGCACGGGGGCCAAGTTGGGGCCAAGTGCGTGGGGGACAGTTGGGCCTGTTCCCTCCCCCCACATTCCCTTTTTCTAGTCACCCTGTCCAAACCCTATCTCCCTCTACACCCCCCCTTCCTCAGCCACCACCAAAGACTCTGTCCTTACCACGGGCACCTTCCCCAGCCCTTGGCCCTCTGGCCCCCTCGCCTGCTTCTCTGTGTGCACATTCCCAGGCCACACCCCACTCTGCTGGCACACTTACATCTCTCCCTCAGCCCCCCTGCCCTGGAATCCCTCTGCCTCTTCTTCTCTCATCTCTTCCCTTCATGGCACCGCCCCCCCATCCCCCTCCAGCCACACACACACCTGTCCTTCCCTCTCACTCACACTTCTCTCTGAACTCCCTCTCCTTCCTCTTGTCCTCTTCACCCCTCACCAGCCCTTCCAGCCCTTGCCCAGTCCTGGAAGCTGGACTTGATGTCCGCAGAGAGGCAGATCACCGCTGAGGCCTCCTGGGGGATGCGTGTGAAGGGCTGGGGGCGTCTTGTCTTCACAGAGTCCCACCTCCTGCTCAGTGTGCCCGTCACCATAACAGCACTTCCTGTTTGCCAGGGAAGTGCCGCCATGGTGGATGGAGGGAGGCTCTCGGTGGACCTCGGGGGCCAGAGGCCTGGTGAAGGGGAGCTGACAAAGACAGGGTCTCTCCTCCTCAGCACCCCCTTATCATCATCCTCCTCCTCCCTCTCCCTCCACCTCCCTCTCCTTCCCCAACCCCAGCTTCAGAGCCGGGAGGTAGGCTCCAGGCAGAGGGGGGCGGAGCAGGGCCACCAGAGTGTGTGCGTGTGGGGGGCAGGGGCGTGTGGGGGGCAGAGGTGGGGAACAGGGGCCCTATGTCTCCCCCTCCTCTCCCCTCCCACTCCAGCCTTCTCCCCTCCCACTCAGCCTTCTCCCCGAACCTCTGGTTTCTCCTCGCAGGTGATGCTCTACACTGGCAAACGGGATCGCTGTGTTTCCATCACTTTCTGCTTTTACTCCTCATCCTTTCCTTTCAGCGACCAGGCCTCCGCCACCGCCCGAGGGGGATGCCCGCCTGATCCTCGGAGCCTTCCCACAGCACTGGGGACTCTGCCCACCCCGGGCTGGGAGCAGGGCAGGAGGGCCGGAGGCGGGGAGCTTAGCACACAGGAAGGAAGGCTGGTGCGAAGCTCGGCCAGGCTCTTGACTTTTTCTGGCTCTGAAACTTGAGCAGGTGACCTCACTCCCTGGGCCGCCGAAAGGGGAGGTGAGAGTCCAGGAGCTCGTGTGTGTGAAGCAGCCGGCCCAGGGGCAGAGGCGAATCCTCACCCCGCCCCACCCCGCCTTGCCCAGACCCACGCCTGGCTCAGGATGTGCTCAGCAGCCGCCCGAGTCCCTTTCCAGCTGGGGGTTGGGGAAGGAGAGGGAGGCAGAGGAAGAGTGAGGAGGAGGAGGAGGTTAAGGTGGGTGCTGAGGAGGAGAGACCCTGTAGACTCATCTGGGATGGGGAAGGGACCAGACACCTTCCCTGGGACACTGCCGGGAAGCGAGCCCATGTCCCTTGAGTCACAGAGTGAAGGAAGTGGTACCCATCTTTGCCAGCGTGGGGCCTGAGCCTCAGTTTCCCCCTCTGTAGACTGGGTTCTCTGAAGACTGCCCAGGAAGTGCCTAGCACGGTCCCTGGCACCAAGTGGTAGTCATTGTTTCCGCTGTCATTGCTGTTGATAATCAAAACACCACCAACAACTGATGGTAAACCCAGATAGTTCCTCTGAGGCGGATGGGATAAAGCGTGGGAAAATCCCTGTCCAGGTGGAGTCCAGAGTGGATGCCACACAGTTGAAGCAGCAGGAGGGAAGGATAGCGGGCCTTAGGAGGAAAGGGATGGGGAGGCCTCCTGGAGCCGCCCCCAGGTGGGCAGGAGCATGGCCCACAGAGGCCAGGAGGTAGGCAGTCAGCCAGGGACTGGGCGGCCCCTGGTCTGATGGAGAGAGCTAGCCTGAACCCGGGGAGATCGCGCACACACAGGCACATGCACACGCATACACGCACACAGTTGGTTGTGCGTGGGGGGGGGCATGTGTGTCCTAGACATGCAGACGTGTTAGCTCCTGGTCCCAGGGGAAGGGGCTGGGCTAACAGGAGGATGGAAGCCAGGCCACGAACAGGGAGGCCGGACACTCGTCCCCCGAACGTTGCTGAGCACCTCCTGAGTTCCAGCCCGGATGAGGCGCTGGGGATGCAGCCAGCCTCCCCCGTGGAGCTCCCTGCTTCTGCCTCAGAGAGCCAGGCCCTGGCAGGTTCCTGAGGGGCCAGGCAGAGCCTGAGGCTTCCGAGGCTGAGTGACCCCATGCTGGTGCTGGCAGGGCGGGGGGAGTGTGGGGGCTGCGTGGGGCAGTGGGTGTGTGGGGTCCCCGCCACACACATTGGGCAGGCCCGACTAACGCTGGATTTGCCTTGCAGCTGCGCACAGTCTAACCCTTCCCCTTCCTCCCCCAGGTACCGCCGGCCCACAGGCAGCGGGTGGCGTGGAGCTCCGGGCTCTGGGGCCCCCAGGGGGGTTGCTGGGCAGAGAAACAGAGTCTCGGGGGAGTGTGTCTGTGCCACCTGCTGTCCTGCCCTGTGTGATGTCTCCCCACCCCAGCCCCTTCCCTCTACCTGTCTCCCCACCCCAACTCTCTGAGGCCCAAGGGGCTCTGCTTGTCTGCCTCTCCGTCACTCTGTGTCCAGCTCTGTCACCCTCTCTCTGTGTTGGCTCTTTCTGGGTGGTGAGGGTTGGGGGACCCAGCTGCTCCCAGGTGGGGCCAGCACAGACTGGAGGGAGTTCAGCCTGTTCCCTCGGATCTGGGCACCCAGGCCCCGGGAGGAACTGCGCTTCCTTCCCTGGGCCCCTGGTTCTGGCAGGAGGGCAGCTGACAGGGCGAGAGGGGACCAGGTGTCCCCCCACTCCCTCCCCGATGCCCCCCTAACCAGAGCCCGCCTCCCAGCTGGGACTCCCCCTCCCATGAGGGTGCCGCTCACACCTGAAGGCATGGTCCTCCTGCCTGCCTGTCGCCCCCTCCCCCCGTGTCTCTCTTGGTCTCTGTCCTGCGTGTTTCCCCTCCCTGTGACTGTCCCCCTCACGGCCTCTTGCCCCAGCCCTACCCCAGAGGAAGGGACCTGGGGGGTGGGGGCTGAGCTGATGCAACATTTGGGGTTGGGGAACCAGGAGTAAGGAAAGAAAGGAAAAGGGGACATGTTGCCAAAAAAGAAACAAAAGCAATTTAATCTCTTTTTTTTCTCTTTTTTCTTGCACATTTTTTTTTTCAATTTGTTTTCTCTCTCTCTTCCGATGCTTAAAGTAGAAGTGGAGCAGAAAGGTAAACGCACTGTTACCAATGCTAACCCCTAACTCACACTTTGTTTTATTATACCTGTGCCGTCCTTGTGTGACCGCCCTCCCTCTCGGCCCTTCTTCTCCCACCCCACTGGGTCCAGCTGGTAGCTCCCACCCCAGGTGTCCTCCCAGTGGGGCGAGCCCTGGTCCAGCCACGGGTGACTCCCCTCCAGACACCGAGGAAGCTCCTCTGAGTACATGGACAGGACCTTCCTCTTATCTCGCTCTCTCTCTCTTCTCTCTCTCTCTCACAGGACCTTCCTCCTCTCTTCTCTCTCTCTCTCTGTCTCTGTATCTCTCTCCCTCTCCCTCCCTCTTTCTCCCCGTCCCCCCTCTCCCACCTCTCTCTCCCCCCTCTCCCTCCCCCGCCCCCCTCTCGCCACGCCCCCCACTCCCCTCTTTCTCTCTCCCTCTCCCTCTCCCTCTCCCTCTCTCTCTCTCTCTCTCTCTCTCTCGCTCTCTCGCTCTCTCGCTCTCTCGCTCTCTCTCGCTCTCGCTCTCGCTCTGTCTTTTCCTGTCCCTCCTTCCTAGTTCCTGGCCCTTGCTAGGGGACCTGGCCTTCTCTCATACTTCTTTTGCTCCTTCAGGAGAAGTTTGTAAGCATTCTGGGTGGGTGGGAACTCCCTTTCCTGGTTCCAGATGCGGGTGGGGTAGGGGGGCACTGGGTGAACCAACTCTTTTCTTCTTCCTGCCCCACCTTTGGTAACTTGGGTCCCGTTGGGGGAGGCGGGATGGAGGGACAGGGACACTTTTGTTTTCCTTTTGGAGAGCAGATTCATCCTATCCTTCAGGCTCCTGGTGGCTTAAGTTCCTTCTGGTTTGGTGTTTCCAAGGCCCAGAGCTGTTTTGGGGCACAGAGCACAAGTCTCCCCCAGCCCTGTCCCCCAACCTCCACCAGTTGGGGGCCCGCCCCTGGGAAGGGGTGTGAACTGTCCTCAGCCCTGGGAGGGCAGCCTGTCAAATGGGGGGCCAAGGGGTGGGGGCGGGCCTTGCGGTGGGGGGATCGAGGGATGGGGGAGCATTTTTCTCTGGTTCTGAAACACTTGCGAAGCTGCAGTCAGGGTTTCTTCTGGGCTGCTGTGGTTAGAGGACCAGGGAGAGGGGGCGGGGCCAGGCCAGGCCAGGCCAGGCCAGGGACTTCCGGGAGCACCGTAATTTCTTGCAGGGGTTTAGCCTCAGCTGGGGAGCAGAAGTCTGTGGTGGAGAGGGCTGTCTGGCAGGAGTTGGGAGATGGTTGCTTTCATCCCCTGAATGTTTTGGGAAGTTGGCAGCTCTGAGGCTGGCAACAGGGGAAGGGCTGGGTGAGACACCCTTTCATACAGCTTTTGGCTGAAATTACGGTGGTCTGTGGAGCATCCCATTCAAGGGGGTGGAGTGGGTCCCTCCAAGCTGCTCCCCTCCCTGCTGTCTCCCTCCCCCATCTCAGAGGCCTGGGCAGCCAGCCCGTGGTCTGCCCCCAGACACCCTGCCACTCCGAGTCTCTCTCCCGGAGCCTCTCCCACCCAGCACCAGACACTCTTCTTGCAGGTCCGGTGGTGGTTTGGATATGCAGCCCTGGATCTTTTCTGTTCAAGAGGCGGGAGGGAAAAGGAGGTGTTGGGAGCTTGGTGCTAGGGAGGGGTCCTGCTGGCAAAGGCCCAGACCCTTTCTCATTCTCTCCCCTTCCCCAGGGTAACCTCTAACCACATTTTCCTCCTCCACACCCTCTGACCAGGTCATGTCTGAGACCTCCCACCGCCCCTCACACACAGCTGGCAGGGCCCCCGGCTTGGGGAGAGGGGAGACCTCGGCACAGAGGAAACCGGTGGAGGGACAGACCGACGCCTCAGGGCCCCAGGAGAGGGAGGTGATGAGGCCCCGGGGCCCAAGCCGATCCTTCTGGTCCCTCCCACCTCCGTGCCCTGGGCTCCCTCCTCCTAGAACAGGGCGTGCTCCGGCTGCTTCTGTGCCGAGGGACCCCTGGGCGGCCTCCCAAGCCAGGACCAGGTCCCAGCCCTTCCCGTCTCCCTTGGGGCCATCTGCTTTGGTGACAGCCAAGCAGAAGCAGAGAATTCACTGCAAGCCCTCACCCTGGCCGGTCTGTGGGTTCTGCTAGCAGGGAGCCGAGAGGGAGACCCCAGCCATCCTGGGTGGAGGGGCCTCTGACTGCATCACTGGGAGGAGGAGGGGAGTCCAGCCCGCCACTGGGTCAGCAGGGGAGCCTAGGAGTAGGTAGCCCTGGGACACGATGGGGGGGTGGGCAGGCCAGTGGGGGCCAACGAGATGCAGTTGAGGTTTTCCTCCTTTTCAGGGAATGGGGGGGTGGGGCGGGGCCCCCCACCTTTCTGACATCAGCGCTGCCTTGGTCCCTCCTCCCGAGCCGGGGATGGTTGCAGGTAAATCCGGGTCCGGGGCAGGGCGGTGGGGGGCCTGGCTGGGGCGGGCTGGGTCTTTATCCTAGCACTTGGTTCCCTCCCTTGCCCACTCTGAGCTGGACCTGGGAGTGCCCCCTGAGGGACCCTCCGTCGGGCCTGGGCCTTGGAGTGAATTCTCTGCTCACCCCTCTCTCCTCTGCCAGCACTAACCTTTCTTCCCAGGTGGTCTCCAGCGTGCCTCCTTTGGAGCCAGGACCTCTGCTGAGGGCCCCGCCTTGTCTCTCTTCCCTCTGCACAGCTTTCCTCCCCTCCCCAGCTCTTCTGGGGAGTCCCCTCCTCCCCATGTCCCACCCCATCCCTGTGCACCAGTGTCAGTGTCTGCTGCTGAACCAACCCCAGGAGAGACCCTGCCGGCTGGGGCAGGGCTGGGCACCACGGGGAGAGGCTGGAGTTTTCCAAAGCCCTTCCTGATGGGGGCGGGGGGCGGGGGGGTGCGCGCACACAGGCTGCATCAGGAGCCTTAGATGGAGAGATGCTCCTGACACCACAGTGGGTGCAGAAACATCACTGCCTTGCAGTTTTTGCAGGAGGAAGCAAGGGGAGTAAAAAAGATCAGTCCCATGTGGTGGTGAAGGATGGGACCCTCCGCTCCAGCTCTTCCATGGGGGGGTGGAGACTGGCCAGAGGCAGGGCCCTGAGTCCCTGAACTTCAAAGCTGCCGGCAGCAGCTGCAGTGAGGTCTTCCCGCCTTGCTCAAGGCACACGAGAAAGTCTGGGAGGGCTCTTGCCAAACCCCTTCCCCCCAGCCTGTGGGGTCTCTAGCAGCCAGAACAGGAAAGGGGTGCCACACCTTCTCCCACTAACCCTGCTCTTAATGGCCTCCAGGGTTGACATCTCCAGGGAGAGGGGCAGCTGGGCGGGCAGGGATCCCAGCCCGGAAACCCCCTTCCCATCACCAGCCCTACCAAGCAACCGTGACTGCAGCAGCAGGAGGGGACAGTCTGGCTTCCCCGTGGCCTTGTGACCAACTGCCTCTCTCTCCCCTCTCTCCCCCCCTCTCCCCGCCCCGCGCCTCCTCTCCTGTTCCCCTGCCCAGTCTTCGTGTGCCCAGGGACCCTGCAGAAGGTGCTGGAGCCCACCTCCACGCACGAGTCGGAGCACCAGTCTGGTGCGTGGTGCAAGGACCCGCTGCAGGCGGGAGACCGCATCTACGTCATGCCCTGGATCCCCTACCGCACGGACACGCTGACCGAGTACGCCTCGTGGGAGGACTACGTGGCGGCGCGCCACACCACCACCTACCGCCTGCCCAACCGCGTGGACGGCACCGGCTTCGTGGTCTACGACGGCGCCGTCTTCTACAACAAGGAGCGCACGCGCAACATCGTCAAGTACGACCTGCGCACGCGCATCAAGAGCGGGGAGACCGTCATCAACACGGCCAACTACCACGACACCTCGCCCTACCGCTGGGGGGGCAAGACGGACATCGACCTGGCCGTGGACGAGAACGGGCTGTGGGTCATCTATGCCACCGAGGGCAACAACGGGCGGCTGGTGGTGAGCCAGCTCAACCCCTACACGCTGCGCTTCGAGGGCACCTGGGAGACGGGGTACGACAAGCGCTCAGCGTCCAACGCCTTCATGGTGTGCGGCGTCCTCTACGTGCTGCGCTCCGTCTACGTGGACGACGACAGCGAGGCCGCTGGCAACCGCGTGGACTACGCCTTCAACACCAACGCCAACCGCGAGGAGCCCGTCAGCCTGGCCTTCCCCAACCCCTACCAGTTCGTCTCCTCCGTGGACTACAACCCCCGTGACAACCAGCTCTACGTCTGGAACAACTACTTCGTGGTGCGCTACAGCCTGGAGTTTGGGCCTCCAGACCCCAGTGCCGGTGAGGACGGCCCCTGTCCCCCACCCCAGGCCCAGGGTGGGGGCACACTTGGCGTTCTTAGGGACCTGGAGGTGGGCTGGGGGAGACCTTGAGTGGGAGAGAGTCCGCAGCACATATGTTCTAAGCACTTAATTCGTCTAACCCTGATGGCCACAGGGATTGTTACTGCCCCCAGTTTACAGATGAGGAAACTAAGGCTGGGGATTTGTTTATATGTTTTGAGCATTTGGACTGTGCACCTAACCTCCGAGTGCACTGCCTCCCCCTGAGGCCTGTGCACTTTTAGCCACGGAACCCTTATCAACCGGAATCTTGAGCAGAAACCCAAATATCAGGTGGAACAGAACAAGGCTGAGCTGCTGGCGTTGATGGGTGGGTCCTCTCCGGAGTCTCGTTTGCCGCCTCAGCCCCTGAGCCATCTCCGAGCAGCCCCATCTCTGAGGGGTCCAGGGAGACTAATCTAACCCAGCTTCCTTTCGTAATGGGAAACTGAGGGCCTCCCACCGAGGGAAGGGGCCTGGCCCGGTTACAGACCAGAGTGAGGTGGCATGTTCACTGCCTCCTCTCCATTGTTCCTTTAGACCTCAGGGTGCACAGGAGTGAATTCCTAACACCTATTGATGCTTTCCATGGTCCTGCAGAAGTGAGGGATCTCTGTGGGCAGAGAGAATGTGGGGGGAGATCCCCTTCCAGACCCAGTGGGGACCAGGACGCCTTTCTACTTCATTGGCAAGAAAGATGCTAAGATCCAAGTACCCAGGCATGCTGTGGCAAGGCCCCAAACATGGGGGTGACTCTGTCTCATGTCTCCTCTCCATTCCAGGCCCAGCCACTTCCCCGCCCCTCAGCACGACCACCACAGTCCGGCCTACACCCCTCACCAGCACGGCCTCGCCTGCAGCCACCACCCCACTCCGCCGGGCACCCCTCACCACACACCCGGTGGGTGCCATCAACCAGCTGGGACCTGACCTGCCTCCAGCCACAGCCCCGGCCCCCAGCACCCGGCGGCCCCCAGCCCCTAACCTGCACGTGTCTCCGGAGCTCTTCTGCGAACCTCGGGAGGTGCGGCGGGTCCAGTGGCCGGCCACCCAGCAGGGCATGCTGGTGGAGAGGCCCTGCCCCAAGGGGACTCGAGGTGAGTGCAGAGGCCTCGGTCACTTCCACGGTGGCTGGTTTGTGGGTGGCTTCTGCTGGTCTGGGCAGGGAAGAGACAGGGGACATAGCTTAGCACAGGTGTACTTACTGTCCATCTCCCCTGCCATAGCATGGGTTTACACGGCAGGGGCCATACCTGGTATCTGCAGCTGTGTCCCCAGACTCCAACAGAGCTCCCAGGGCATAGAGCAGCTCAGCACCCTCCCCCACCCCAAACCCTGTCCCCTCCTGCAGTGCTGAGCACCTGCTGCATGGAAAGCACTAGGTAGACCCTGCAGGGAGCCCTCCGAGGTGACATGGGTGTGTCCTAGTCTCAGGCTAAGATGGACCAGCCCTGGCAGCAGCTGATGGCAGGGTAGGTGGCAGTGGAAGTGCCAGAGGGGTGGGCCATGACCATGTGCTCCAGGGATCTGAGAGAAGGGTCAGAAGAGGCTTGCTGGAGAGGAGGCTTCCATAATGGGCTTTGCTAAAAGGTTCTATTCCTGTAGGCAAAGATGGAAGGGGAGCCCAGAAGGAGAGCTTGGGAAGTCAGGGGTGACTTATGTCACCTCAGAATGACGCCTCTCTTGACTGTCTGGCCTGCTTCATGTCTGGTCTCCCATGTTCCCCTCACCTACTTGCCCTCTCTGTCATCTCCTTTCCCCCTGCTTTGGCCCCTTTTCTCCTTCCTTGTGGCTCCCTTCTCCGTCCTGTCTGTCTGTCCCTGCAGGAATTGCCTCCTTCCAGTGTCTACCAGCCCTGGGGCTCTGGAACCCCCGGGGCCCTGACCTCAGCAACTGCACCTCCCCCTGGGTCAACCAGGTGGCCCAGAAGGTACCAGTAGCAGCTGCTCCTCTAGGCACCTGTGCACACTGGGCTCTGGGTGGCTGGGTGCAGGGTGCAGTGGAGCAGTGGGTCACAGGGAGACAAATGGGTGGCAGGTCTGGGAGGCAGAAATGTGGGTCCACTCTAGTGTACAGAGTGGGGGAGAGGGCAAACAGGGACAAGGGGCAGCAGAGAGCGATGAGAAGGGCTGAGCAGGCCGGGTATGTGCAAAGGGACCATGGGGAAGCGAGATGGCCCCTCACAGGGCCGGGTCCCCCACTTCTGCCTCATGCAGATCAAGAGCGGGGAGAATGCAGCCAACATTGCCAGTGAGCTGGCCCGCCACACCCGGGGCTCCATTTACGCGGGAGACGTGTCTTCCTCCGTGAAGCTGATGGAGCAGCTGCTGGACATCCTGGATGCCCAGCTGCAGGCTCTGCGGCCCATTGAGCGCGAGTCGGCTGGCAAGAACTACAACAAGGTGGGGCCTGGCGGCAGGGCCGGTGGTGGGCTCTGTCCTGGAGGCTCAGGAAGGTTGTGGCCTAATAGCTAAGAGCTGGGCGGCCACCCACGATGGCCAGAGGGAGGAAGGTCGGAGTGCAGGCCTGCTGGTCTCCCTGTGGGTTGGGGGACCCCTTAGGAACAACTCTTACTCATGGCCCAGCACCAGGTCGGTGGCAGACACAGGTGAGAGTGTTGGAATGAGTAGGGCAGGAGGCCAGGCCTGACAGTGCCTCCATCCCTTTCCTTAGATGCACAAGCGGGAGAGAACCTGCAAGGACTACATTAAGGTGAGGCCCAGAGGGCTTCTGTCTGAGGAGGTGGAGCAGGCCCGAGGAGGCAATGGGGTGGGGGTGGGGGGGAGATTGAAAGGCGGGGATACGAGGCCATCCTGAGGAACTGGAGGATGCGGGGGGACTCATGGCACCACCCCCAACCTTTCCTCTTCCCCCCACCCCTCCTGCTCATTTAGGCTGTGGTGGAAACGGTGGACAACCTGCTGCGGCCAGAGGCTCTCGAGTCCTGGAAGGACATGAATGCCACAGAGCAGGTGCATACAGCCACCATGCTCCTGGACGTCCTGGAGGAGGGTGCCTTCCTGCTGGCCGACAATGTCAGGGAGCCGGCCCGCTTTTTGGCTGCCAAACAGAATGTGGGTGAGTGCTATAGTCTCGCCGGGGCAAGTTCAAGTGCAAATCTTGAACTGTGGGGCCCAGCTGTTACAGAGACCACCCTGGCCCTTGACCTTGGGCCCCTGGACTGGGCACAGATTCCAATCCCGTATGCCCTGCCATCCTCTGTCCCACAGTCCTGGAGGTCACAGTTCTGAACACAGAGGGCCAAGTCCAGGAGCTGGTGTTCCCCCAGGAGTACCCAAGCGAGAACTCCATCCAGCTGTCCGCCAACACCATCAAGCAGAACAGCCGCAATGGTCAGTGCCCCTTCTTTTCCCCTTCCGCGTGGCTCCCTGAAATCCTCTGCTCAAGCTGGGGGAATATTGCAGGGTACTCATGGGGTCCTCCCAAAGCCCCGTAGAGCCAGGCCACTTCAGTCTGCGGGGCTCACTTCGGCGCAGCAGCAGCTGATCTCAGTCCCGTTTGAGACTAAGGCACAGAGAGGTTAGGGATTTGCTCGAAATCGCACAAGTGAGAGGAGCCCAGGGACCCAGGCGCTGTGTGTTCTGGCCTGCGGCCCTGTTGTTTGGCACCGCCTGCAACCGAGCAGCTGTCCCAGGCCAGGGTTCTCTGAGCCCCACTCGCGTGGGCTTCGCCTGGCAAAGCCAGGTCCCAGTGGCCAGAGCTGCACCAGCCCAGGGCCAGTGGCAAACCCGGCTACACCTGTCCTCCCAGGGGTGGTCAAAGTCGTCTTCATCCTCTACAACAACCTGGGTCTCTTCCTGTCCACTGAGAACGCCACGGTGAAGCTGGCTAGCGAAACGGGCGCAGGCAGCCCAGGGGGCACCTCCCTGGTGGTGAACTCACAGGTCATCGCAGCCTCTATCAATAAGGAGTCCAGTCGTGTCTTCCTCATGGACCCTGTCATCTTTACTGTCGCCCACCTGGAGGTGAGCTGAGGAGGGTCCCAGCATCTTTTGTGTTCCCATGCTGCATATCCCCCTGCTCATCCACCCAGAAGCAAGTCTGCACCCCTCCCTGGGCCATGCACCCCCTTACAGCCCCCACCTCAGCTGCTTAGGTCATCTGTCCCCAGAGATACCAGGTGCCACCTGGAGCGCCAAGCGCTTCTCATGCTTGTTGCTATCCCTGGAGCTGGGTGAGGGCTGGAGAGGGACTCCCCAGATCTGACTCCCCGGCCACCACCACACAACAGGCCAAGAACCACTTCAATGCTAACTGCTCCTTCTGGAACTACTCGGAGCGCTCCATGCTGGGCTACTGGTCGACCCAGGGCTGCCGCCTGGTGGAGTCCAACAAGACCCACACCACATGTGCCTGCAGCCACCTCACCAACTTTGCCGTGCTCATGGCTCACCGTGAGATCGTAAGCTGGCTGGCGCTCCGCTGCGCTCTCCTGGCGGGCCCACTCTCTGGCCCAGCTTTGCATGGCATCATAGAGTGAAGCATGGGCAGTGCCAGGGAAGACCAGCTTCATGGGCATGGGGGGCCACCAGTCTTGCCCAGGGCACAAGGCCGCACATCTGGTTCTCTCTGGTCACACTCCCACCTTCTCCCAAGGCCCTCTGGAGAAGCAAGTTGGTGTCACCTTTGTCATCTCTCCACCCGCCTTCCAGAGCATGAGGAAGTGAGCGCGCCGCCTGCAGAGGGGTGGGGCCAGCAAGTTGGCCAGGGGCAGTAGGCCAGGGGGTGGGGGCTGCACCAGCGGTACTTGTGGCCTGCAGCCTTGCCTCCAGCTGGCACTTAGCTGAGTCCAGGGTGAGCCTGGCTGTGGTCAGGGGCGCTGAGTGCACCCTCTGCTGTCCCCCAGTACCAGGGCCGCATCAATGAGCTGCTGCTGTCGGTCATCACCTGGGTAGGCATCGTGATCTCCCTGGTCTGCTTGGCCATCTGCATCTCCACCTTCTGCTTCCTGCGGGGACTGCAGACTGACCGCAACACCATCCACAAGAACCTGTGCATCAACCTCTTCCTGGCTGAGCTGCTCTTCCTGGTTGGCATAGACAAGACTCAGTATGAGGTGGGCCAGGCACAAGGTAGGGGGTGGGGGGAGGCAGGAGAGGCCACCTGGCCGGGCAGCCCCTCATTTGTGGTACCCTCGCCCCCCAGATTGCCTGCCCCATCTTCGCTGGCCTGCTGCACTACTTTTTCCTGGCTGCCTTCTCCTGGCTGTGCCTGGAGGGTGTGCACCTCTATTTGCTGCTGGTAGAGGTGTTTGAGAGCGAGTACTCCCGCACCAAGTACTACTACCTAGGTGGCTACTGCTTCCCGGCCCTGGTGGTAGGCATCGCAGCTGCCATTGACTACCGCAGCTATGGCACCGAGAAGGCGTGAGTGCCTCCCCCCACCCCCATCTCTCCTCTTGCTTGGTTCCCTTGGGGCACTGGGCTCCTGGGGTCAGAGGGAGGGATCCCTGCCCCCCCACCCCCCGCCTCTATCTACCGGCCCTGCTTCCTTTATAGCTGCTGGCTCCGAGTGGATAATTATTTCATCTGGAGCTTCATTGGGCCTGTCTCCTTTGTTATTGTGGTAAGCTGGAAGGTGGTACCCCAGTACTGCGTCTCCATCCTTTATCCAGGCTAGCCTTGTCCCCGAGCAATCCCAGTCTCCCCAAGCCCTTGAAAACCGTGGGAACTGAACAGCCAACTAAGAGGACGAGAGCACAGTGGGTCTGTGGAGCTCCAGCATAGAGGTTCACCCATCCGGGAGTTAGAATTTGAGCCCCTGCTCTATGGCAGGCTGTGGGCCCCATCCTTCCAGGAGCGGGAACCCTGTTAACCCTTCCAGTTATACCAGTGGTGAGCACCTGGGGCAGGTACACCTGTAGGAGAGGCCCTGAAGAAGGAGGTCCAGGCTGAGACATGGCCGGGAACTCGCACTGTAGGCAAAGCAACCCCAGCACAGCCCCTCCCCTTGTCCTGCCCCCAGGTGAACCTGGTGTTCCTCATGGTGACCCTGCACAAGATGATCCGGAGCTCATCTGTGCTCAAGCCTGACTCGAGTCGCCTAGACAACATTAAGTGAGCACCCCCTCCCTGCACCCCTGCCACCAAAAACTCCACACTGGCCCGGCCTCTCCCAGGACTTTGTAAAATGTAGTGCTGTCACTCTGTTGTCACACAACGTGATTTAAGGACAAAGTGGTGTCTTTTTGTGCTTGTTATATATCTACCTCATGTGTATTAAAAAACCTGGCATAAGCATATTCAACCTGTGGTTTGGAGGACATACCTGAATAACTGCTGAGGGCAAGACTGAATTCAAAAGTGAGACTATTTCAGGGCAAGTTAAAGAGAAATAGACAACAAAATATAGTTTAAAGGCCTGGAAATAGGGCCAAAAGGATGAAGGATGCAGGAAATGACTGACCATTCACAAACCCCGGCCCCCGACCTTTGCTTGCCCCTCAGACCCAGGCTGGGTGGAAGTATCGCTGGGCAGGGGTTATCCTGAGGCCTACTCACTTAGGTGGGCCTCTGCAGAGGGCGCCCAGGCCCACGGAGGCCAATAGGGAAGCATCACTACTAGCGGGTCTTTGATGTCCCCGCCTTCTCTCCCACCCTCCCCAGATCCTGGGCCCTGGGGGCCATCGCGCTGCTCTTCCTGCTCGGCCTCACCTGGGCCTTCGGCCTCCTCTTCATCAACAAGGAGTCGGTCGTCATGGCCTATCTCTTCACCACCTTCAACGCCTTCCAGGGGGTCTTCATCTTCGTCTTTCACTGCGCCTTACAGAAGAAGGTGAGGTCAAGGAGGAGGCCAGGTGCCTGCCTCCTGCTGAGAGGGGAGCGTGGGCTCAGCGTCCGGGAAGAGTTAGCCAGGGGTGAAGAGGATCTGGAAAAGAGCAGGATGGAAGACTGGAAGAGCAAGAAAACAGGGCGGATTTGGGACATGGTGATGGGGCCCCTTCCCAGGATTCGGGGCACGAAGCAGGCATGCTAAATGGAGATGACCCTGGGCCCCATCCAGACAGATGTTTCCTACTTGAATAGTTATGAGATAAACTATGAGTTTTGTGGTGATGGAAAGTTTCCTTTTTAAATAAAACATGTTAAAATCTAAATCTTAAGAAAGTAAATGAAGGTGCTAACAGAAGCAGAGCAATGTGGAGAGGCCATACAAGACTCGAGCCATGGAAGCTGAGCCAAGGCATTTGTCTAGTTGGTCCTGAAGGCAGTGGCGGGAGGGAGGCCTTTCAGACTGTTAGTCGCGGGGGACAGTGAGGTGGGTCAGGCTAAGGTTGGGGATGGAGATGCCAATCAGAGTCCGAGTGTTTGACTGTATCCTTCCTCCTGTTAAAACTGGCAGCCCCCATTGGACACACAGGGACAGTAACGTCTTTATAGGAACCTCTAGGCACCCAAGGCCCAACCAGGGCCCCTTCTGTTCCCTCTTCCAGCAGTGCCCTCCTCTGCCCTCTCCCAGACACCTAGACACGCACCCTCCTCATGGCCTGTTCCCTGCTCCTCCCAGATAGATAGCCACAGGGCCTGCTGTCTATTTCTCTCAAGTCTTTGCCGAAACGTCTGCTTCTCAGTGAGGCCTCTCCTGGTTGATCTGAAATCTGCAAACCACCACCACCACTCCTCTCCCCACCAGCACTGCCTAACCCCCTCCTCAGCCATAGGTCTTCGCAGCACCTAACACGATAGACATCCTGCGTTATGTACAGATGTTTGCATCTGTGTTATGTCTCTGTCTACTAAAATAGCAGCTCGGAAAGGTAGGGCTTTATGTCTGATTTGTTCTGATTATCCCCGGAGCCTAAACTATGCCTGCCACATACAGGATATGCATTAAAGAGCTGCTGAGTCACTGAATAGGTAAGAAACTGGTGGAGGTGAAGAACCGAAGATGGGCCTGAGCGAGGAGAGAGAGTCTCCCTGGATGGCTGCTGGGGGACAGGACAGGTTTCTGATGCCCGCCCGTAGCGTGGTCTCTGGTCTCTGAGTGGGAGTGCCTGCTACCAGCTGCCTGTTCTCCCGTCTCCCAGGTGCACAAGGAGTACAGCAAGTGCCTGCGACACTCCTACTGCTGCATCCGCTCCCCGCCCGGGGGAGCTCACGGCTCGCTTAAGACCTCAGCCATGCGGAGCAACACCCGCTACTACACAGGGACCCAGGTACCTGAGCTGGGGCCAGGCGCTAGGCAGGGCTCCCTGGGACTGAGTGTTAGACCCGGGAGCCCCAGGGGCGGGCAGTGCTTTGTCCAGGTCCCTGGTGGTGGTCACCAGGCGAGTGGTCTCAGAAAGCTTCTGGACGGTGGACAGCTTGAGGGTCCCCTTATGTCTGGGCTGTATCCCCAGAGCCGAATTCGGAGGATGTGGAACGACACCGTGAGGAAACAGACAGAATCTTCCTTCATGGCGGGTGACATCAACAGTACCCCCACTCTGAACCGAGGTGAGATGGTATCCCTGGTCCCTGGCTCCAGTCCCCTGAGATCCCGGCCTGTGTCTCCAAGCCGCCCTGTTACTTCTGACCTCCTGGGCAGGTACCATGGGGAACCACCTGCTGACCAACCCCGTGCTGCAGCCCCGTGGGGGCACTAGCCCCTACAACACCCTCATTGCCGAGTCAGTGGGCTTCAACCCCTCCTCACCCCCCGTCTTCAACTCCCCAGGTAAGAATACTCCAGTGCTGGGAGAGGGCAATGCCCAGGTCAGGGAGCGTGGGGTCTGCATCCTGAGGGGTTTTCACTTGGGGTGCCCTTGTGCCTCCTGAACTGGAGTGCAGACTCAACATTCCAAGCCTATTCACCTTCTTTCTTTTCCCTCCTGGCCTGGCACCTGCAGGGAGCTACCGGGAACCCAGTACGTGAGACTTTCCTGGTAACATTTCCGAGGCTGGGAGGGGAATGAGACGGCGGCCTCCTTGGGTGGCCTCCTTATTTAGGGAGGAGAACTCATAGAGTGCGTCTCCCTCTCGCCCCAACACACACCCACAAGCATATGCATGCAGACTGGTTTGGCAGCTGCTTGGTGTTGTATTTGGGCCTTGGACAGGGAATGAAGATGAGGGTCAAGCACAGGTTTCTCTCCCAGCCGGGGGCTCAGAATCTTAGCGGTCACCCCCGTCTTCTCACACTGCTAAGTTTCTGAGCCCCTGGCTGGGAAAGAAACCTGGGAAAATTGGTCTCCACAACCCCCCTCCCCCTCCTTCCACCAACCTGCATGCTGGGTATCCCCACTGCCAATGAGGAAGAGAAGGAATGAAAGAACTAGTCCCCAGGGACAGGGGTAAACCCAGGCAGCCCCACCCCACATGGCCTGGATCCTTCCCGGTGCCTGGCCCTCCTCCTGAGCCAGCCCCCTTCTACCTGCAGAGCACCCCTTGGGAGGCCGGGAAGCCTGTGGCATGGACACACTGCCCCTCAACGGCAACTTCAACAACAGTTACTCCTTGCGAAGTGGGGATTTCCCTCCAGGGGATGGGGCGCCTGAGCCACCCCGAGGCCGGAACCTGGCAGATGCTGCCGCCTTTGAGAAGATGATCATCTCGGAGCTGGTGCACAACAACCTGCGGGGCAGCAGCAGCGGGGCCAAAGGCCCTCCACCGCCTGAGCCCCCGGGGCCACCTGTGCCGGGGGGTGGCAGCGAGGAAGAGGCTGGTGGGCCCGGGAGTGCTGACCGGGCAGAGATTGAACTTCTCTACAAGGCCCTGGAGGAGCCTCTGCTGCTGCCCCGGGCCCAGTCGGTGCTGTACCAGAGCGATCTGGACGAGTCGGAGAGCTGCACAGCAGAGGACGGGGCCACCAGCCGGCCCCTCTCCTCCCCTCCGGGCCGGGACTCCCTCTATGCCAGTGGGGCCAACCTTCGGGACTCGCCCTCCTACCCGGACAGCAGCCCTGAGGGGCCCAGCGAGGCCCTGCCCCCACCCCCACCCGCACCTCCTGTCCCCCCTGAAATCTACTACACCTCGCGCCCTCCAGCCTTGGTGGCCCGAAACCCCCTGCAGGGCTACTACCAGGTGCGGCGGCCCAGCCACGAAGGCTATTTGGCAGCCCCAGGCCTTGAGGGGCCAGGGCCTGATGGGGATGGGCAGATGCAGCTGGTCACCAGCCTCTGAGGGACCTCGTGGACCAGGGGCTGGTGGCCCAGGCCAGGGAGGGAACCCTGAGTAGGGCTCTGATGGCCTAGGGAGACTGAAGGAGGCAGTGGCTGGAGGGCCACTTTCCAGGCATCCCTTGACTGAGGGCCCTCCAGGCCTCTTGGGGGCTCTGCTATGGAGACCTGAGGTGCAGGGTTCACAGACAGGGTTTCCCACCAGCCACACGCACCAGCTTACTTTGGGGGAAATGCCATGAGGAGGAACCCAGAGGTCCCAAGGGGAATAAGGAAGGAGAAATCGGAAGGGTACATCTCACTCTCGACTTCCCCCTCCCCGCTACTCTTCCAATCTGCTGGAGAGAAATGAGGGCTTTGGTGTCCCTGGACCAACGGCCCTGCTGGATGGAACCTATCAATCTGCACCTCTTTCTGTAGTCGGAAATGCTAGGCTGCACCAGGAGGGAGCACTGGGGCAGAAGGACAGATGGACAGGTTCCTCCTACACTACAGCTCCCTGCTCCCAGAGACTGGGGCCTCTGGCCCAGGAGATACGCCCCAGGGCAAGAGGAATGGGCATTCGTGGCTGATGGTGTAAAGGTTGGATTTTTCTCTGAAGCTCCTTCCCTCTGCTCTTAGTCCCTGCCTCCCCAGCAAACCCGTCCCCTCTGCCCTCCTCAAGTGCACCCAATGACCCCCTCCCTTGGGGTGACTCCTGATGAAGCACAACTCCCTGAAGGGCCCCCAGCCCACAGGGGTGGCCATATTGGGGCAGTTCCAATCCTGTGGGCTTGGCTATCTGGGGAGCAGATATTGGGTCTGGATCTCCCTGGGGAGTGGGTCCTGGGTTTGGATCTTTCCCTAGGGGGCCTTCTTTCCTTTCCTCTTTCCTCCTCTCCCGTTGCTGTAAATATTTCAAAGAAATGGAAAAGACAAAAAAAAAGAAAAAAAAAGAAAATCTCATCACTTGAAGCCACCAGGAGCCTGCGGCCCAGCCCGCCCGGGCTTTCTCCGGAGCAGAGCGATACCGCTGGGCCCTGGCAGCCCGGACTTCTCCGTGTACGTGTGCATCCCGGCCAGGTGGGCGGCCACCAGAGCAGCTTTTTACAATCCAGAGACAGAAAAAAACAAAAACTAGAAGCAACAGCAAAACAAAGAACCTGTTTCCTTCCAGGCACCTATTTCTGTTGCCTCCTTCCCTGCTCCGCCTGACCCTGGCATCAGTCAGCCCTCCTGGGGCGTGTACCTCACTGCCTGCCCTAGGACCAGGGAGCTGTCTGCCCCTTCCCTCCCCACTGGCCCAGGGGAGGCACCCCTCACACCCAAAGATGCTTTTGCCAAGATGGCTGTGCTGTCCCTTTGAGTTCCTGCCTCTTGTATATTGCTTCTGGAACTCTGGGCTGGGGCTGGGGGGCTGATTTCCTGCCTAGAGAGGTTAATGGGGGAGGAAAATGAGGACAGCAGGGTTTGATGTGACTGAGGAGGACCGACCAGGAATGATGAGGTCTTGTTTGGGTGTGAGTGGGGCTGGTATAGGATGCAAAGGTGAAATAGCACCTTCCCTACCATACACCAACAGAGGAGGCAAAGGAAGAGACCAGGGCCTCTAGTCAGGACACCCATGTTTTGGGGGCTCAACCCTAAACCTGCAGGCCCTAAAGAAGTATCAGGTTTGGAATGTCTCCTGAGTACCTCTTCTGGCCCCCTCTCTAGCCTGTCCCTCTGGCCCTCCGGAACACACAAATTCTGGGGGTAGTATAGTCCCGTTGCCACACTAACACAGCCCCATAATTGCCATTTCCTCGGGGGTGGCTCTCCACCTCTGCTCAGACCCCCTCGTCGCTTTTGCCCCTTCCTCTTTTCTCACAAGTGCCATGAGTTTTCAAACATCTTTGGGTCTCAGTCTGCTGCTACCATGAACTTTTTGGGTTAAAGGGGAGGGGCTGTAGGGAGAAACTAGAGAAAAGGGACAGGTAGGTGGCTGGAGGGGCCCTTTTTGCTGCTAGAAAGCCCCTCCCTTCTGGGGAGCTGAGGCTGGCTTGTCCCCATCAGGGGAGAAGGGGTCAGACCAAAGACGGTGGTTTGCCCTGTGTAGGGGTACTTGTGTGGGGAGAAGGCAGTGCTGGGTTCCATCGCTGGCTTTTTCTGGCTGGGAGGCTTACCCTGTTCAGAAGACCGTGGGTGAGTCTGGACCCAGGGAAGTAAGGGCGGGGATGATCTTGTCCAGATGGCTCTGTGGGAGGATGAGAACCAGCTCTGTGGCCTGCCTGGGTTTTAAGAGGGGCAGCTAGAGGTCTGCAGAGAGACGCGGGCAAATGGAGGAGATGGCCTGGCCCATGTATCATCCCAGCTAGGACCAGCGGCTGCCTCTGACACCAGGAGGACTGGCAGAGTTAGCAGGGTGGGAGAGTTTCCAGGGGAACTGGAGGCATGCAAGGAGCCCCCCATCCTCTCCCTGCCCTGCTTTTTAACTCCAGACGGACAATCAAGGGGAGAGAGGGTCAGTGGGCCCCTTGGTTCCCATTCCAGCCAGATTCACCAAGGTGAATTCCTAGGCCTCAAAACTGTGTGCAGGGCCCCCTGGTGGGGCTGAACACCACTGCAGCACAGTGCAAAACCTCCACCCAGAGCCCAGGTGTCCATCCCTGCACCCCAACCAGACCTGGTGCCTTGACACCCCCACCCCCACTGGGACGGTATAGAGAAGAAAGGGTCTTGGTTTCCTCTCCTATTCCCTTCCTTGGGCTCCTAAATTCATTTGCTCTTCAATCTTAATTTTTATCTGGGGTGGTTTTGTTTTGTGGGTGTGTTTTTTTGTTTTCCTTGCCTTCCTTTCTGTGTCTCCACCTCTTTCCATTTTTCTCACTGTCTCTATGTTCCTTTTCTCTCTCAATTTCTCTGTCCATTCGGGCCTCCCCTCCTCCATGCCCCCAGTCCCTCCTTGGTCTCCTTTTCGATATGCCAAACCAATTTTGGGTCGAGTGCATTTAACGAGAACAAAACAAAAAAGGCTCATAACAACAAGAACGTTTCAGAAAAAAAGTTTTAAAAAATTGTTGAGTCAAAAAACAATAAAGAAAATAAGATTTCTTGGAATAACGAATGGTGTGACTCATTGAGGGGGGAGAATCAGGTGAGTGGGTCTGCACTGAGCACCTACATGAGGCTCTGACACTGAGGAGCCTGAACCATGGCAGAGACCTGGAGTCACAGAACCAGAACCTACTCAGAACTTGGTAGGTTTTGGGCCTGGCAAAGCAGCAATTCAGGTAGTTTTTCATTGAACACTCTCGGGTGGGTAATGGTTATTGAAACTCCAATTTAAAGACAGAGCAACAGGCTTACAACACCTACATACATATCCTAATCCAGTGGTCAGCAAACTCATTAGTCAACAGAGCCAAATATCAACAGTACAACAATTGAAATTTCTTGTGAGTCAAATTTTTTAAACTTAAACTTCTTCTAACACCACTTCTTCAAAACAGACTCGCCCAGGCTGTGGTATTTTGTGGAAAAGCCACACTCAAGGGGCCAAAGAGATGCATGTGGCTCGCAAGCCGCAGTTTGCCGACCCCGGCCCTAGTCTCTGGGCCATGTGTCTAGAGAAGCCCTTCCTGGCCTGGCTTTATTAGAACAAAAAAGACCTGTATGCTGTGCCTGTCTGATTCCTAGACTCCCCTCCCACACACTACTGAAATGGTGCTTTTCGAAAGTGACAACACAATGGATTTGCAGCATGTGTATTTCAAATTCTCAAATAGAACTGCCAGTACACAGAGAAATGACCACTCAACAGTGAAACTATCTCCATGCTCCTCTGTCCTCAACACCACACTCCCTCTTTTCTCCTCCCATCTCCCCAGCCACTCCTTCCCAGACCTGGTGGCTGGTGCCTTCTCGTCTCTTGACCTCTTAATGCATGCAAGGCCAGGAGCTCAGCCTTAGACCTTTTCCCTACCTATTCTGGGAAAGCTTGCCCCATCTCATGGTTTTAAATGCTATCAATATGCTGATGAGTCCTGAACATATAGCTCCAGATTTACATTCATCCTACATCCCACTCCACATCTACCCCAGGGTGTCTATTAGGATCTCAAACTTAATCTGTCCCAAACCAGATTAATTAAATTCCTGACCACGACTCCCCAGCTCCTCCCAAATGCTCCTCAATGGCAAGTCCATCCCAAGACTCAAGCTAAAACCCTTGCAGCTTCTCTTGAACTCATCTCCTTGTTTCATCTATTCTGACAGTAAATGCATCGGCGGCTCCAACATTAAAATATCGAGCATTGCCCTAACTGGTTTGGCTCAGTGAATAGAGCGTTGGCCTTCGGACTGAAGGTTCGATTCCAGTCAAGGGCGTGTACCTTGGTTGCAGGCACATACCCAGTAAGGAGTGTACAAGAGGCAGCTGATCGATGATTTTCTCTCATCGATGTTTCTAACTCTCTATCCCTCTCTCTTCCTCTCTTAAAAAAAAATCAATAAAAAAAATTTTAAAAATATATCCAGCATTAACTAGTTCTCACCACTTTGGTTCAAGCCAACCCTGTCTTTCACTGAAGACTACTGCAGAGTCTCCTTACTAGCTCCCTTGTCCCCTGTCAGGCTTTTCTCAACACAGAAACCACAGAGATCTTGGTAAGCATATTTTGTCCTTCCTAGGCTCAAAACTATCCAATGGCCTCGTCTCTCACCCAGATAAAAGGCCAACGGCGCAATTGCTAACAAGACCCTACAGAGCTCATTCCCATGGCTCCCCGCCTTCCTTTCACGCCAGCCACCCTGGGCTTCTCATCTGCAAACATGCAGGCACTCTCCTGCCTGCCTTAGGGCCTTTGCAATGGCTGTTCTAGCAGAGCTTTTGCAAATCAGAGCTTCCCAGCAGGCTACTCCATTTCAACTGCTGTTGGCCATCCCAGAACTTCCCAAACCTGGTCCTGCTTTGTCTCATAGTTCTCCCATCTCACAAACTATCCTTTTTGCTTGTTTCCTGTCTACCTCCCCAATTAGAAGGTAATATAGAATGGTGTTTTTTTCAATGCTGTTCCAGCTTCTAGCACAGCATCTGGCACACAGGTGATCAATACATATTTGTTAAACAATGGAAAGCTGACTTGAACATAAGACCCAGAGTGAACCTGAGATGAGACCTAAGAATGATGGGAGTTGTGAATCTGCTGCTCCCTTGACTGGTCTCAGTTTCCACACCTCTCTCACCATGTGATACTAAGTTTTTAATTCAACATGGCCCTGAAACCTAACCTAAATATTTTAGCAGTGTCCAACCCAAGAAAAGGCAAAATCTCTTCCTCTGCTGGAAAAGGAATTGATTCCTCTGGATCTACTGAGAGATGCCCTGTGAGCCAGCTCAGGAGCTTTATGGGTAATTAATTAACTACATGTGGTTTTGACATCATGATTTTTAAATAAAATCCTGGCCTAAGATAACAATACGGCCTGTTCTTCTGCTATTGTGTCCTTGACCCTCCCAGCCCTACACATCCTTACCCACTAGACAGACAGTAGAAATCTGCTGGGCTGGACAACTGATGACCCTCAGGTAGTTGTTAGTGGCATGGATTTGCATGTACATAGGAATAACGCTTATATTGAGATTTATCATTTCAAAGCTCTTTCCTACATTTCATCTTACTTAATTATTACAAGGTATATATTGTTATCCCTATTGATCAGATGAGAAAACTGAGGTTAAAGTGATTAAATGACTTACTTAAATAAGATTACTAAGCAAGTTTACAGTGCCTACACTGTGTAGATACTTTACATATGCTATCCAATTTAATGCTTTCAATGACCCAGTGAGGTAGGTGTTACTTAGCCCCATTTATAGCTGCGAAACTGAAGCCCAGAAAAGTTAGAGAATACCTCCACAATAGTTAGAGAATATTCCCACATTCACTCAGCTAATAAGAAAGTGCTGAACAGGCATCCATCTTGGTCTTCAGACCCAGGGCTGCCTCTAGCGCTATCCGCATGCAGCTATAGTTGCCCACTTGTCATCACTGCCCACCAACCCCACTTGGCACACAATGAAGGAGACTGACAATCTGGCTCCCAGAGTCAGAGGAAATGCCCACTGACTGCACCTGATGGTGCCTACGTAGCTAGTAGTAGGACTGTCCAGGGTGGACCCATGGGAATCAAGTCAAAGGGAAGGCCTTAATTCAGAGCAGCAGGAGTCTTTTCAGATCCCCAAAGGACTGAGAGCACTAGGGGCCTCGCCCTTGAGAAAACCTCCTCTCTCCCTCAAACGCTTGGGAAAGCCTTGGGGAGCTGGGCTGAGGATAGGCCTCTATCCCCACAACATTTCAAGCTCAGTCTGCTCCTCTCTTACCCTTCAAACATAGCAGTCATGGAAACAGCAGTGATGACAGGCACCTGCTGGCTTTTCCCTTCCTATTTATATCAATCACTTTTCACTTACCCTGGACTCTCCTTGACCAAAACCCTAATTGCTCCTCTTTTCTATCTGTCCTGTCCTACTGTCTCCCACCAGTCTCTGCCTCTGACCAAACAATCCCAGCTTCTCACAACTGAAGTCCTCTCTTTAAGCTAACCAGTCCTCTCCTGGGAATCAATCCTAAGGAATCACACATGGGCATGAAGACTCAGGAGCAAGATTCATTGGAGTCAGGCTTTTAAGAGTGAAACATAAGAAATAATCTAAAATTTTAGTATAAAAATAGTTACATAGATGATGTACATCAATACAAACAATAAATAAATAATACAAACAGAATAACATGCAACAATTAAAAATGACAATGTAGCCCTACCCAGTTGGTAAACGGTAAGGCCGGAAGACTGAAGGGTCTCGGGTCCAATTCCCATCAAGGGCATGTAACCTCAGTTGCAGGCTCAAACCCCGGCCCTGGTTGGGACATGTTCAGGAGGCAGCCAATGTGTCTCTCTCATGTCTCTCCCCTCCTTTCTATTCTCTCTAGAAATCAATGGAAAGATACCCTAGTGAGGATTAACAAAATAAAAGATGTAGAAGAACATTAAATGACACTGAAATATATTCATAATACTAAGTGTAAAAAGGATATAAAAGACTGCCCCAGCTGAAACCGTTTTGACTCGGTGGATAGAGCGTCGGCCTGCGGACTGAAAGGTCCCGGGTTTGATTCCGGTCAAGGGCATGTACCTTGGTTGCCGGCACATCCCCAGTGGGGGGTGTGCAAGAGGCAGCTGATCGATGATTCTCTCTCATCGATGTTTCTAACTATCTCCCTTCCTCTCTGTAAAAAAATCAATATAATATATATATATTTTTTTTAAATAAATGTTAACACAAATAACCTCTAATGAAAATATATTTATTTATTTACTTACAAACAAAGCAGTGAAAAAAAATGGCATTGTTTTACATTTTTGTAAAGCTCCTACTTGTTTAATGGAAGACAGCTGGATTCTCACATAGGCTACTGCAATCAATCTGTTACAATATGCTGTTTTGGTTGAAGAATATGAAGAAAATCCAGCCTTACACTGATACATAGTTGTAAAAGGGAGAAGAATTATAGCCTTTTCAGCTAATTGGGGATATTCTACTCTGTTACTACACTAAAACTCAGATGGCTGTGTATTAAAGTTAGTTACTATGTGGAACAGGAAACTGTATCAATTTACGGAGTTACATTGAAACATATTTCTCATGCAGTTTTAATTGATTTATTTTCCCTATCATGCTTTTGTAACATCATACATTGGTCTTTGAGAAAATACTGATTTTACTGAGTTATTACATTTCATTACACAAAAATTTTAAAGTCATTATTTGTAAATATCAACACTGATTTCATCAACAAGCTTTTATTTTTATTTTATTTTTTAATATATTTTATTGAGTTTTTACAGAGAGGAAGAGGGAGGGATAGAGAGTTAGAAACATCAATGAGAGAGAAACATCGATCAGCTGCCTCTTGCACACCCCCTACTGGGGGATGTGCAGGCAACCCAGGTACATGCCCTTGACAGGAATCGAACCTGGGACCTTTCGGTCCCCAGGCCAATGCTCTATCATCCACTGAGCCAAACGGTTTTGGCTCAACAAGCTTTTAAATACT